GTCTGGGATATAGTTGACTTTCAATAAATGGGAACTGTCATCTAATCCAAATTCCTCACTTCACAGAGATGGAGATGCTACCAACTCATGGAACTTAGAGGCACACCCAGGATCATAGAGGCAGAGCTGAGTTGATTATGGATTTCAAATCTCCATATTTAAAATCTATTTACATGGTTTTAATGGGTATAAAGCTAGGAGTGGAATTGGAAGTATGACTTTAAGATAAATGCCAAGAAGTAGGTTGGTGTGTCAACAAGTTAATAAATGGGGCCAGTCCCATGGCTGAGCGGTTAAGTTTGCACACTCCACTTCGTTGGCCCTGGGTTTCGCCGGATCAGATTCTGGGTGTGGTGCACCTAGCACTGCTCATCAAGCCATGTTGAGGCGGCGTCACACACAGAGGAACTAGAAGGACCTACAACTAGAATATACAACTATGTACTGGGAGGCTTTGGGGAGAGGAAGAAAAAAAAATTTTTTTAAACTTAATAAATGCGTAGTTTTGTTAGATATTGCCAAATTCCCCTCTGAAAAGACTGTACGTGTTTGCATTTCTATCAGCAATTTATGAGCGCCTCAAAGATTCTTTTAAAAGAGAAGTGATACCTCTAGAGCATTAAAACTGAAGTAATTTCAAAACCATGTTGTGCACGATGGCCCCCACAAACAGGTGTGCACTTAATGGAGTAAACTAGCTCAGCTGACATGTCATCTTCATTAGGAACAGTGTGAGGACCAAGAAACTCATTTAGCGCAGAGCAGCTATTCAGTCGTAAAGACTTCTCAAATATTGATTTCCTTGTGTGTGAGGAAAGGCTTACTTTGTACAGAAGTGAGTGGAATGGAAAAGGGGGGTGACCTAGATATATGGCTCCGCATGCATGCTTACCCTCATTATGGAGGGTATACTGCGACAGTGGCTGCCTCCCCCGCACGCAGTCCTGCGTCTCCCCCTAACTACTCTGATTTTGTTGCTGTCATTATCGTTTACTGTTATCCAGACCTTTCCACAGAGCCTTTATACTTTGAAGGAATATACCTCCACCCCTGGATCTGGGGGTGGGGCTTGTGGCTCAGGCCTCAGCTAACCAGCCCAGTCTTATTCCCTGACTGTGTTAGTGTTTCAGGTGTGGACACACAGCCCTATAAGGGCCAAGAGAACAGGAATCTGACAAGAAAAAGAAAAAAAAAGAAACCTAGATATTTATTGGCCTAGTTGAGCCCCTCAATTAAACTAACCTTGAAATCTGTCTTATCTCTGGACTTCCAACTGCATGACCCCCCAATAAATCCCATTTATTATTTAAATCAATAAGAGTTGGGTGTTCTGTGCCTTGCAACCAAAAACATTCTAATTTACACAGTGAGCAACTTCAGTATTGCCAATGAGAAATATCTCATAAGCACATGCTATTCTATAGGCTTTTTAAAGAATAAATGGGGGGGCTAGCCTGGTGGCGCATCGGTTAAATGCCCACATTCTGCTTCTCAGTGGCCCGGGGTTTGCTGGTTCAAATCCCAGGGGCAGACACGGCACCACTTGTCAAGCCATGCTGTAGTAGGCGTCCCAGGTATAAAGTAGAGGAAGATGGGCATGGATGTGAGCTCAGGGCCAGTCTTCCTCAGCAAAAAGAGGAGCATTGGCAGCAGTTAGCTCAGGGCTAATCTTCCTCAAAAAACCAAAACAAACAAAAAAACCCAAAAAGAATAAATGGGTGAAAAATATGTATCTTTGCATGAAATTTTTCATTCCACAAAACAGTTTATTTTTGATATTAGTGGCCAATTCTACTAGTCCCAAATTCTTGCCTCTTAGAACCCCAAATTGGACATTACTGTTACCAGACATAAATTTCTAGTTCCTCAAATCCTAAAAGTTTAGATCCAAACCTTTATCGAGAAAGTTTAACAAGGCATAAAAAGTTTTCAGGTCAGAATGGAAGACGTTCTTCTATTTTGGCTGCACTTTGCCACCATTTCGAAATACAGTTTTCCTGCAATTACAATACAACCCTATTCCTGCTTCTCTGAGCTTCTGCTTTGCTCACTCAAAGCCTTTCATTTATCCTGTTACAGATTGTCTGGTGTGGGTTGTTAAGAACTGTAAAGAACCTGAGCTTTTATGCTTCCTGCAAGCTGAGTTGGCCTACAGCAATTTCACGGACGCTGACAGAGGACACAAAAGTGCAAGTCAGAGACAAAGGACTTTATTACTCACAGCAACAGGAGCAGCCAGAATATCAGGACCTTCTTGTACTGGTTACCGGAACTCCAGTAACCGCAGGGAATGCAAAGAGGGTAAGGTACACCTACACACGGAGTGGATTGCAGTACAGGAGAGGAAACTTCAGCTTGGGGAACCCACGTCTATTATAGTGGGCAGTAAGCATGACTTAGCTCCTGAGGGAGACACTATATCTATCTTCCACAGCTGTTCACTATACAAATGTCTTTGACATCTTGTAGAATTAAAAAAAAGATAGACTTTACATTTCTAAGAGAGGAAATCCAGGACCCCAGTTCCAAACGGGTTATAGCTCAAGTCATCTCTCATCAATACCATCAGAATTGGGTTAAGATTTATCGACTTGCCTGGGGGAGCAAATAAGTTGGCACATCTTCTAAAGGATACATTTTAAATATTTGTCTATTTTTAGAGATCAGGTTCCTGCTTCTATGTACGGGAGGGGGTGAGAAGAAGGTGGAGTGGGTGAATGTTGGTGGTGGGAATGCACCAGCTTGCTCACCTCACCTTCGATCCCAGTCCACTAAACCTACACATGGGCACCAGCTGTCACTCAAGCATGTCTTTGCTGGTGTCTCTTTCACCCTCTTCGCAAGTGCCTTTTCTTCCTAACCACATACAGTGTTCTCCTTGAAAAGAGTTGCAATAAAAATAGTTTTTTCCATCTTGTATTCTTGTGATATTTTAGTACATGGAGAGGTTTTAGTACCCTTTATAGGGTGCCACTCTCGACAACTGCTAGACAGGCTCGTCTCTTAACCTGGCCATCGTGGTGAACAGGAGCTATATACTGACTATTGGCTGTATCCTTGGCACTATGTTAAGTGATGATCTAAGAAAGACTGGGAGGTAGGAAGGAAATCAATATTTTCTGCTAGGTGCTGTGCTAGCTGTTTTAAGTACATTATGTCATTTAGTCATCATAATACCGTGATAACTAAGGTCCAGAGTGGTAATTCATGTGCATCGTGGTAATAAGTGACAGAAACAGGTTCAAAATTCTAGGTGTATGATATTAAAATCCATGGCGAGTTCAGAAAATTCATCTCGGAATTCAAGAAAACTGTAACTCAGGGAGAAAACCTCTGTGCAATTAGAGAATAGTACTAACATCTGTTGAGTATTAAATGTGATTATTGACATTAAGTGCTAGAGGAAACTTCCTCTAGTTAAAATAATTACTGCCATACTCTATAATCTTAGGGGACTTCGGTTCTATCACCCACTGCTCCGTGTACAAGAAGGGACCACGAATGGTTTTGTGAGAAAGGTTTTAGCAGAGCCTGTAGCTGGGTAACACACGTTTAGGTACTTGACTTGGGTGCTCTCTTTAATTTTCACAAGAGGAATTAACTCGTCTTGGATTTCTACCACCTTGCTTTCTACTTCAAAGAAAAAGCATAAGCCCTCAGACTAGAACTTCCTCAACCTCTTTGAGGCCTCCCACCCCCAAATTTATCTGCATCTGCCCCCATTCTTGTCTCGTCTCTGTTCACAGTGGAAGAGACGCCCTCCCCCATCTAAAGGTGACCTCTACCCTCTTCCTCTCCAGGTCCGACTCCATCACATATTTCTCTCAGATCGTGTCTTTACCCATTAAGGCCCTATGGCTCTTTCCTATCAGCATAAAACATGCCCCAGACTTTGCCTTCTTAAAAGACTCTTCCTTGATCCTACATATTTTTTCTAGGTACCGTTATTTCCTTCCTTCACAGCCAAGTTTCTTTGAAGAGCTGCATGTATTTATGGTCTTTGCTTCCTACTTCCCATTAATGTGTCAACCCATTACAATGTGGTCAATGAAGTAATGTGGGCCAAAACTGTGCCTCAGTTTCTTCATCTGTAAAAATGGGGGTAATAACAGTTCCCCCCTCATAGGACTGTAAAGATTAAATGGATTATTATATATAAGGCACTTAGGACAGTGCCTGGCCCATACTAAGCACTAAAAGTGTTAACTATCATTACTATTATTATAATAATTACTTCTTAATTACACAGCTGCAACTGTAAGGATAAGAAAAAAGAGAACCTGGAGACAGCCAACCTCACAGTTTTGCCCAATTAAACAACAGATAGAGCTGTTGGAAAGTGAGTTTTTAAAAAACGCATTCCAGTAAATGACTTAATAGGTTGTAAACTCCACTCAGGCATGTCTCTTATCCTTTGTTGTGTGCCCAGAACTTGGCACAGGGTCTGGCATGTAGTAAATTCTCAGTATCCATCTATCTTGCTGTCATCTATGGATCTATCTATCTCAATGGATGGACACTTCATAACCAACAGTAAGAGAATTCTTCTACCGCCGAAAAGAACTTGATAAGTCTGCAGCCTCGGTAAAATTCTTTTAAATTTAGTGTACTTTTTTCCTTTCTTCAGAATTAACCATGCACAGCAGCTAAAGACTTTTAACCCAAGAACGTACAAAAAGGCCTGCTTGCTCAGTAAATGTTTTGTTAATAGTTAAAAAAAAAAAAAAGAAGTAGGTACATGCTGCCACTTTTACCTAATAAAAATAAATGCAAGTTTATGAGAGAGAAGAAAATAAAATCCCCAGCCGTCTCCCGGTCTCCTAGGAGACGGGGTCTGACGTCACCTGAGCGGGAGGGGGCTGGGGTGGGCGCGCACGCCCTACTGCGCATGCCCGCCGCCTCCCGGCCGAGGGCGGACGCAGTGCGCATGCTCGCGCCCGGGTCAGCGGGTCAGCGCGTCTGAGTGGCTGTGGGGTCGGCGCCGCCCGCGGTTAACGGCGCTGGTGGCGGGAAGCTTGAGTTCCTGGTGCGCCGAGCCGCCGCGGCGATGTGTAGTGCGTTCCATAGGGCTGAGTCTGGAACGGAGGTGAGAGCCGCCGGGGTGGGAGCGAGGGAGATGAGGGGAGGCGGGGCGCCCCGCCATGGGGCAGACGCCCTGCGCCCGGGGCCGTTCCCGCTGACCCGGGGCCCTCCGAGGTGGGCGGCCTGACGCGCGCTCTCCGAGCGCAGACGGAGAACGTTGTTCCCGTAGGTGCAGGACCTGCCGCGAGCACAGGCGGGGCCGAAATGCTGGCGTTGTGGTCCCGCCTGTCGCAAGCTCGCTGCCGTTAGAGGTGGTAAGCCGTGCCAGAGAAGCTGGGAACGGGGAGGGCTCGCCCCCTGGAGCGCTTGTGGACGCTTTGTAGGACGGGGGTCTTTGAGTAGGTTGCCTCCCCTTCTCCCGCTAGTCCACATGTCGCTGCCTGTGGCATCAAGCCCTCCATCCCACTTTACCATTCCGGCCTAAATACCTCCAGAGCCACACAGGCCGTTTCATGTCCTGTAAGACTTTATTTGGGAACTGAACCAACAGGTCACTAGTTAAGGAATAGGAGTAAGAAACAGCTTCTGCCGTTAAAGAACGAGGAAGGGAGGCTGACTTAAAACTTAGAATAGTGTGTGTAATAAATCATGCTCTCCAATAGAGGGACAGGCGTCCTGGAAAACTAACTGGGAGGAGACGATGACCGAACTGAAGTTTTTAAGGGCCGTTTGCCGTTGGTTTGGCAAGGAGGGGATGGCACTCAAAGCAGAGAGAGAGCCTGGCAAATAAATTCTGCGTTTAGTGGAGAGCATGGCTCATTTAGGGGAGCTGCAAGAAGTTGTGTACAGTTGGAACAAAGCTAGTGGGAGAATGGGGTGGAGAAGTTAGCCCTGAGAAATAGGCCGGGGTGGGTTATGAAGGGTCTTTCATGCAGGTGAGGAGAGAAGCAATACTCCAGGAGTCAGCAGACTGTTCCTGTAAAGATCCACATAGTCAGTTTTGAGGCTTTGCAGGCCGTTTGGTCTCTGTTGCAACTCCCTACTCAACTGCAGTCCTGGTGTGAAGGCAGCCATAGATATGTAAACAAACGAGCGTGGGTGTGTTCCAGTAAAGCTTTCATTTTTCAAACTTTTGGATTTGGCCCGCTGGCCATAGTTTGCCAAGCCCTGCTCCTTAAGGGTAGAGCCACTGCTTGGTACAAGAACTACTTCAGTTACAACATTACTTAAATGATCATTTGAAACCCAGCTTCAACTTGGATGACTTTTGCAGTTAGAACAAGCCTAGCATCCAAAAAATGGGATCCCAGCACCATCAAATCGTTGAACAAAGATTTTAGCATCAGGGCCAGCCTGGTAGCGTAGTGGTTAAGTTCGCCTGCTTTGGTGGCCTCGGGCCTCGTGGGTTCTGATCCTGGATGTGGACATGGTACTGCTTGGCGAGGCCATGCTGTGGCAGGTATCCCACATATAAAGTAGAGGAAGGTGGGCATGGATGTTAGCTCGAGGCCAGGCTTCCTCAGCAAAAAAGAGGATTGCAGCAGATGTTTGCTCAGGGCTAATCTTCCTGAAGAAAAAAAAAAAAGATTTTAGCATCATCCTTTGCCTGCCATGCCTGTCTGGAGATCCTAAGCCAGATTGCCTCGCTCAGGTTACTTCAGAGTGCAGTGGGTGGAGGGGGAAGAGTAGCGAGCTGGGCAACTGGTGCTTCTTTATCCTTTTCCTTTTTGTTAACAAAACCGGCTAAGCGAGCCTCTCTGCCCTTAAGTGCTGGGCACTGTATGGCCATTGCTTAATTTGTTTGGATGGTGTTTTCTTTCTTCACACATTAGTCTACTTTGTGGGTTCTACTTCGAGGTATTGTGTTGAGGAGGATACCTGAAGTCACAAGCTATCCCCGGAAACTGAAATAAGCTGCTTTAAAATTGTAATTCACTAGAATTCCCACCATATAAAATAGCTAAGCTTTCCCACATCTTGTGAGTGGGGAGAAGACATTTTATACAGGTTCTTCCAAGAAAACCAAGTTGCAAAGAATATTCTAACAGATTGAAGGGCTGTAGTTTGTGGTAGGTGAGAGCAAGTAAGCCCTTGGTTTAGAGAAGACAAGCATTTGAATACAATTGACGAGAGGATAATCTGATTTTTACCTTGGTTTTGCACAGTAGCAATGGCATTTTTACTTTTATATCCCTCTGAAGATTAGAAAAGATTGAAGTGATTGTTTTTTTAAAGGTTTGATTTTTTTTTCCTTTTTCTCCCCATTACCCCCCAGTACATAGTTATATATCTTAGTTGTGGGTCCTTCTAGTTGTGGCATGTGGGACGCCGCCTCAGCGTGCCCTGACGAGTGGTGCCGTGTCCGCGCCCAGGATCCAAACCTGTGAAACCCTGGGCTGCGAAAGTGGAGCTCTCAAACTTAACCACTCGGCCACAGGGCGGCCGCTAGATTCAAGTGATTTTGGCAATATTTTGGTATCATCCACAAAATGGCTTCATTTGCATATAGTTGTTAAATACTAGTTTATTATACATTTTCTCAAAAATGCTGGTATGCCTTGAGTTTTAAAATAATGAATGGATAAAAAATAGAAAGTGTCTTGTTCAGTTTGGGTTGCCAGGTAGAACATACTGTTTGCTTTTTTCTTTAATTAATTAGTCCTATTTATTATTAAAGTAGTACATGCTGGTGATCGAAAATTCCAGAAGTGCTGAAGTAAAAACTAGGAACCCCTCCCCCATTATCATTTCCCAAGGTGAATTTTTTTTGTACGTTCTTCCAGAAGTTCTCTAATGTCCTAATTTTGGAGGCTGAGATGGAGAATGCTGGGTGAGAAGTTTGAAGACCTTGGTTCCAGTCTTGGCTCTGCCAAGAACAAGCTTTGTGATTTTGGATAAGTTCTTACAACGTGGCTTCTACCTTTGTAAAAGGAGGGTGTAGACTCTGATTTCTCAGTTCCCCTTCAGCTCTGCCTCTAGGAGGGGGTCTGAGAGACTCCTTTCACTAAGCTCTGTAGTCGCTGCATAGTCAACACTTGATAAGTATTTATAGATAATAATGACTGGTTTTCTTTTCTTTGAAGAAAAGAGTAGAGTGGCCTTTTTGCCAGAAGCAAATATTAAATGAGACAAATATTTAATATTTATTGAATAATAATATTTTGGTTTTGTGTAATCGCAGACTTTTAGAACAGCACTTATTCCCTCCATCTTTGCTTTGCTTCTTACCCAGAATGGAATCAGCGCTCCATCATTACCATTCCTCCATTATAGATACCATCAGCTTCCTTGCCTCTTCACACCTCTGACCTGCTCTCCTAACCGTGCTTCACCCAGCTGTCTGCTTTTGCTGTCTCTACCCACTCGGCTGAATATTGCTGGGGAAAATCACCACTAGGCTGACGTTTCATTTTAAATTTCTAACCATCAACCTCGGATGGACTCCCAGGCCAACTAGATCTGCCTAGTAATTAGTTCCCTTTCTCACTGCAAAACATCTGTCATCAAATCCGACCTTACTCCTAAGTTCCATACACGTTTGTTCCATTATCTCCTTGACATATCCATGTGGATGTTTACTAGGCATCTCAAACTTAACATGTTCATTGTTGGTTGAATCCCAGATCCGGGGAAAATATAAGAAAGAGTATGTATTAAAGAAGAGTATTGTATTTATCAATCTTAAGTTTATGAGTGTGATAATTGTAGTAATGTACTTGTGCAGGAGGATACCTTTTTTCTTAGGAGATATAAAATATTTGAGAGGAAGTGGCTTAGCAAAAGAAAAATTTGGCCAAGTGTTAGCAATAGATGAATCTAGGCAAAGGTTTACTGGTGTTCACTCACTATTCTCTTTTTTTTGCATTTACCACATTTTATTTATCCATTCATCAGTTGGGGGACATTTGGGTTGTTTCCTCTAGTCTATTGCTTTAAAAAAATTTTTTTTAATTATTATTTCATTAAGGTCATATTGGCTTATAACATTGTGTAAATTTAAGATGTGTGTTATTAAATTTCAGTTTCTGTATAGACTGCATGTTCTCCACCAATAGTCTAGTTTTTATCCATCACTATACATACTCCTTTACCCCTTTTGGCCTCCTCCCACCCCCTTCTCTGGTAGCCACTAATCTGTTCTCTTTGTGTGTTTATCTTCCACGTATGAGTGAAATCATACAGTATTTGTCTCTCTCAGTCTGACTTACTTCGCTTAGCATAATACCCTCAAGGGCCATCCATTTTATTGGAAATAGTGCGATTTTGTCTTTTTTATGGCTGAGTAATATTCCATTGTGTGTATATACCACATGTTCTTTACCCACTCATCTGTTGATGGGCAATTGGCTTCCTTCCACGTCTTGACTATTATGAATATGAAACTGAAGTCTTGATTTACCACCACACGTGCACACCCATACCCCAACCTTCCTCCCAGGTCTTCCCTATCTTGTTAAATGGCAACTTTGTTCTACTTGTTCCCAAGCCAAAAACCTTGGAGTCATTCTTGAATCCTCTTTTTCTCTCCTGTCAACCCACATTCAATTCATTAGCAAATTCTGTCTGCTGTGCCCTCAGTATATATCAGGAATTTGCCCACATTTGACTGTCTTTATCGCAGCCATTCTTGTTCCTAGTTGCTGTCACCTCCTTTATTGCAACAGCCTCCTAACTGATCTCTGCTCCCACCCTTTCCACGCGTACTTACCCTGGTGTATGTTCCACATGGTAACCAGGGTGATCCATTTCAAACATAAGGAGAGGGGCCAGCCCAGTGGCTAGTGCTTAAGTTCACATGTTCTGCTTTGGCAGCTTGGGGTTTGCTGGTTCAGATCCCGGGTACGGACCTACACACGACTTAGCAAGCCATGCTGTGGCAGGTGTCCCACATATAAAGTAGAGGAAGATGGGCACAGATGTTAGCTCAGAGCCAGGCTTCCTCAGCAAAAAGAGGATTGGCGGCAGATGTTAGCTCAAGGCTAATCTTCAATAAATAAATAAATAAGGAGACCGCACTGCTGAAAGCTTTCCAGAGGCTCTTGTATCATTTATAATAAAATCTAG